CTTTCATAAATATTCTTGAAAAAAAAAAAATAGCAAAATTTTAAGATTTAAGGTATTTAAAAATGAAAATTTTTTTAAAGGTTGATTTAATACGTAAGTATAAGAGGAAATTATGCAGAAATAATTTAATAAAAAAATTGTATGATTGTAGTCAAATATCTAATTTTGAGGTAAATTAATCAAAAAATCAAACTTTTAAATTTTGTTCAAAGGATTCAAGAAGTACAACTTAATTGTAAAAATTGAAAAATTTTATTATAGAAATATAAAATAAATTTTATAATAAAAAATAGTTTTCTTAAATGTTAAATGTTTTGATTGAAAATTCTTTTTATGAAAAATATTTTAAAGAAAAATAATATTTAAATTAATTTAAATTTTTAAAGTAAAAAAAAAAAATACTTTATATATATACAGGCAATCTACAGCTTTTGTATAACTATTTAAAACCGTAGCATTCTTAAGAAACCTTTTTCTACAAAATATTTCAAACAATAAGTTCAAAGGTATTTGTTATCTTTAAAATCCAAAAATATCTTTCAAGTTAATTATAATTAAATAAATGTTGGTATATACATATATTTTTAAATATAATTTAATTTACATACATATATACTATATAATAAAATTTTATTTGTACAATTTTGCTAGCGAAATTTCCTACTGATTTAATTTTTTCGCTCTGAGCTATAACCATCATATTATAAACGGATGCTTGAAGATATATAAAAAAACATTCAAAATTAGCCGATGAAAAGAAGATTTTTTTGAAGAAAATTCTGTTATTGGCTCATATTCGAATTATATTTATACGAATTAGTATATCAAATCTATTTCTGGTCAAGTAATCCGATATTGCGATATTGTTGAAAAAATTTAAAAGAACGCTAAAACTTTTATTGCCAAATATTTCCGTGTTATTAATCTAGGTTCAATTATACAATAAAACCTAAAATATTTGTCGAAAAAAACTCACAAATCTCGTATAACTTTTATTGTATTAATTGAAAACTTGTTTTTATTTCGAACATATATTTTGTCCGCTACATACTCATTTGTTATCAAAGCTAAAGTGCAAGATTATCTTCTTAAATGCTATAAATAGTGAATGAAAATAACTTTCTTATAAAATTATTTTAACTTAAAAAATTAAATTACAACTAATTACATAAATTTATTCATGAGTTTATACTAAAAATATGCAATAAATTTATAATCAGTTATTTATGGTACTCATAAAATATAATTTAAAATAAATGGTACTATAGCTACTAGCTATAGTACTTTTTAATAAAAAATAAACTTCTATCCGGTTCTTATGTTATTGACATAATTTTATGTGCCTATGACACCATGAAATATCTTTTGTTTTAAATACCAAAAATTTTATCTATTCCCAAGTATTTTCTAAGTATACTAAGTAATTAGTATACTTTTAAAATTAACAAGAGTGTAAGCATACAAATATAAAGTACATTCATCACACTTTATAAAATATTTAAAATTTTTCTAACTGATCCATGAATGACATTAAAAATATTCAGTTTTTTTTTTTTGCCATTTTTAGCTGACAACATCATTACGCGACCATGTACATAATATACAGTGCAAAATCAAACTTCAAACTGAAAGCTACCAAACACAATGAAAATGTTAAAATCAAATAAATGCTATGCCAAACTCAATTTAGGCGAGTATTACTTTCACGGACAAATAGAGAATGAATTTCTCTCTTTACCGTGTTTAATTTTAGGAAGTAGTCATATATGTACTTTCTTTTATTGGAGTTCTTCATGGGAATTGAGGTGGATCCGCCAATTCATCACTTCAGTAAACTCCTCGTTTCTGGCACCTCAAATAATCATCACATATTGAATTCAACCTTGGGACTTCTAGTGTCATTTTTTGAAGTTAGCTCATACTCTCTATTTCACCAAAATGCGCCTTCCTCTTATATTTTTCTTTTGTTTTCTATTTGGGCTTCTTCTGTATCATGAATATCGTAAATTTTATCATATTTATTTAAGCATTTTCCTTTGTATTTCATTACTGCATTCAATTTATTCTTATCCTCTAACATTATACAACAGTAATTCCACATTCTTAATACATGTTGACTCGTTAATTCTCTCGATTCCTCTTCCGCTCTCCTGTGTTGCACTCGAAAAAATATGAAAGCCAGCGGTTTGTGAAAGCGAGAAAAACAAACTAACGGACCTAAAACAAAATAACGGTAAATATTTATCATAAAACTGTAGGAAAAGTAGGAATAACTGGAGAAGTAGATAATAGATAACAATCTTATATTAGAATATAAAATAGGAATCTTATATTAGAAATAAGATATAAAAGCTAAAGGCAGACTTTCAAAATTTTTTAATGCAATAATAGATTTTTTTTTTTCATGAAAACTGTTAATCTGCACAAATATTTATAAGAATAACTGTATATGCGTGCACTAATGAAAAATTATGATTACATCCACATATTATATACCTTTTATACGCAGTATCTATTATAAAATTGGTACTCTTATCTTTTGGGTTAATATATACAGAGTAAGTGCACACAAGGATTTTATTACTGATTATCATATTAATGATTCTACAATATGTTAAATATTTTATACAAAATAAATATACAATAATTTACATTCATATAACGGTTTGTTCATACATTACATGAAACTTATAAAAGTGTAGGATGAGTTTACTCTAGGGGAGAGAAGATCAATTTGTCACTATCTGTATTTTAGGTATGGAAATAAATTTCATATTTTATGAAAAATTTGATACAAATTGGGGAAAGGAGATGTATAAAATTTTTATTACGTATAGTGTGTGAACAACCTCTAATGTGTTACATAATATTGAATATATGAATATATGTATACGTATGTAAAAAAATAGATAAACATAGAAAATACTTTTTGAAGTAAAAATTTTTTGGAAGTTTTTCATGATTTCTCATATACGTATACATATATTTTTTTAATATATTATCTATTCTGAGGATAACACCTGTTACTAGATAATCAGTATATACATACATACACATATGAATGAATAACCTACTTGTATTATAAAAAATTATGTCAATCATATAAATTAAAAAGAGATTCAAAAAGATTTTAAGTATCGTTATAAAGCAATCAAACGGTATAATAATACATATAAAAACGTATAGAGAGGAAAAATTTTATACCCAAAATCTTAATGAATTTTAATAACCTTTTTGTATATAAGTATGTACTTCACAATTCATATACGTATAAAAAACCATAGATAATAATATAAGAGTAAATATTAATATGTACATATACTTTTCTTATAAGTGGTTGTAAAAAATATAAAAAATAAGTGTTATATAAAGAATACAGCGATCTCTAACAACATTTTTAATACGATTTTTTATTAAAGAGTTGTAATAAGGCGCAAAATACAAAAAGAAAGTTTTTCTTGGAAAAAGAAATATAAGGAAATTTCAATATTTTGATCTTAGCATGTTTTAGAGAAATTTTATTAATTTGCATATTTGAAAATTGTAATCAAAATTAAAATCGTATAGGTACATAATGCGAATTTCTACACATCAATTAAGGCTCACTTATGTATGTCTTTAATTAAAGTGACCACTAACAAATGTATCAGATAAAAGCCATGTAATAATCACTTTTGGCTTCCACCTAAACTATTTCTTACAAACTGTCTATGAATTCTTAACTGCTTTGAAACTTTTCTTTTGTTCACTCTGGTTTTACTTTAAATGCAAATCTTTCATAAAATTGTAATAAACTAATAAATAGTTCTTCTGCAGTAATATTTTTATTTCAAATTATTTAAAGACATGAAACCACTTAGATAATTTTGTTTTTTGAAATTAATAAATTGAACTTTGTTATTCTATTGTATTCCACAAATTATGTATTATACAAGTATTAAAAATTATTGAATATTAAATTAACTGAAATTTTGTCAAAAGTTTTTATCTTAATTAAATTGCCACCAATTTCATTTCTTAATTTTGTTTATTATTTTAATATCTTCAATTTGAAGCGTAAAATATTTACAAAAATAAAACCACTACACCGCATTAAATTATGTAAATTATATTGTTAAATTAAGTGGAAAATACACAATTTTTTGGAAATAATCAATAATCAATATTATAATATTTAAAAAGAAAATTAATTGAATTGTTTTATTAAAAGCAAGAATATTTTGAAACGAAAGAAGTAGTAATTAATGTGCTTATTAACTTTATTTCAAACACTTATTTTTATTAAGAAATCGAATTTTTGTGGTAAAAGTTTTCAAAATTCTGACATCAACGTAGCCTGGTGACAAATATTAGAATTTAACATTTTCTCATCATATTTACTGTCAGATTTTTTAAATGTAATTTGGAGGAAATTCATTTTTAGCAAAAATTTTGAAAAACGATCAGGTGATTCAAGAACTGATTGATTCGAAGCAAACTGTTAAATTGTGATTTGACACCAGACTTTGTCGTAAATTTAATTTTTCGTATTATAAATAGTATCATACAAATAAGTATTCCAGAGAATTAGGATATGCACATTTCATTCGGTAGATGGCTTCACATTATTATAAAAAGTAAACGTCAAATCTTCAAAATTTAAATTTGTAGGTTAAGCGTTGTCTTCAATATAAACTTAACAGAATTTTTATACCAAAGAGTTCATTAATACAAAAAAAACAAGTCTTCCATTTGCAAACTACATACACATTTAGGATTAGGAATACTCCAAATATAAATAGTTCAAAAGTCGATTTGATCATGGACAAACCCCAATTTACTGAAATTATTGAAAAGGTAAACTAATATTTAGATGTTTGCTCCATTTCTTATGCAATTTTCTACTTTTCGCCAAATTTAATATTAAAAATATTTTTCGTTATTAAATTTTATTTTCGATTTAATGATAAAAACAAATAGACTATATTGTTTTCTTTTTTTGTTTCTTTTATCGCTAACAGTTTTTCCGGAGAATTACACAACAAGTCCGTCATCATCTTCATCAGTATCGTTATCGTCGTCGTCATCATTATCTTCATCATTACCAACATCATTGCCATCAGTTCCATCGTTATCATCAATATCATCGGCATCATCAACGTATACAATATTTAATAATCAACAACAACAACAGCAGCAGCAACAATCATTAATCGATTTGGATAGCACATTATTAAAAAATTTACTTAACATATCAAATAATCCACCAGAATTGATTGAATATTATGAATTAGATGATGATATACCAACATCAACATTTCAATCAGTATATGATGTGGGTAAAATAACAGCATCATCACAATCAATTACAATAACAACGTTAATACCATCAGTAAATACAATAACCACAAAAATAGAGGAAGTACCAACATCAATAGTATCTTCATCAATACCATCATCATTATCAACATCATCGGTATCATCAATATCATTATCATCACAAATAGAAAAGACATCATCATTATTAGAAAATATAACACAAAAAACAACAATAATATTAACAACACAACCACCAACACCACCACCTGATATATATCCGGATCCAGAAGAAGTCAATCGAAAAATTAAAGTATTAAATATGTAAGTATTTTATTTCATGTATATATATATATATATCCATTTTGTATATCAAAATCCATAAAACATAATGTAAAAAGCGTGGAATTTAATTTGGCAAAACGCACATAAATAAGGTTATTGGATAGGGATTCTATACACAAAATAATAATTAAGTCCATAGCTTTTCAAATAAATTGGATTTTATTGCATATTTTTCATATTTTACCAATTTAAAAAGCGTTTTAAACTCATTAAAAATGTTTGTTTTCGTTTTCAAAGTTTTTAGCTCTCTCTACATTGCTACCACCAGCATGTAACGGAAATGTAAGGAAAGTCTTCATCTTATTGTTTTAATACTTCGATGTTGTAAAGTACTTCATTCTTATCTTGTTAAGCAGTGACTAGAGCTTCAGATTATTTCATTCCTCAGCGAATTATTTTATAACTATGCGAAATCTAACATAACGCTTGATAAAACGAATATGTAACCCCTGTACGCATTAAATATTTTTTTGTCTAATGCTAAATTACGTTGCATCCTTTTTCGCATAATTTCTATAATATTGACACACTTCATACTAATTTTGGTATAGGTATATAAAGTGAATGAAATCGAAAATTTACACATGCTTTTATACTATTTTAATATTACATACCTATATATGTACACTAAATTAAAAAGGTTCAATTTTCCAAAAAAAATTGTAAAATAAAAGAATTGGGAAACTTTACCCATATATGTAATTTTTTTTTTCGTTTTAAACACAAGAACTTTTGAAGGGATGATGTAAAATAAAATTTGAGTGGTATTCAATCAATTTTAGCATATCCATATATACTTACATATACATATGTATATACATATGTATATTAGAATCTTAAGTTATATTTTATGAAAATCAACATAAAAAACATAAGTCCGCATACATAGTAGGGGTTTTTAGGGGAATATTGATTTACTTTCATAATTTTTAATATACATATAAAATATACCGAAAAAAAAAAACAAAAATCATTCATTTTTCATTGACATATTGATCTCCTTTTCAAGAAAATTAGAAAGGACGAATGATTTTTGTTAACTAAGGGGAATAAAAATAATATACATAATATGTATATGCATATCTGTAATGTTGCCCTTTAACAGTATATTTTCTTAATGTACCAATAATTCAATAGTATATGTACATAGAAATAAGTGATAAAGTATGAGTGATTACAAAAATTGACGTCAAAAAATTACCATAAAAATTCTGTGATCTTTAAAACTAAAATAGATTTCAATTTAAGTATGTATAAAACAAGTTCTAAAATATAGTAGAATAAGCAATTTTTTATTTTCATTCCTACCTTCTCGTCCAATAATTTCTTAGTGATATTATATTTTGCTAATATCGACATTATGTAGGCGTGATAAATAACACTTGTTCTGGAAAATATGGTTTATAATCTTTTGCAGCGACCTTTCAAAATATAGTAAATAATAATATAATGACATAGATTTTTTAACATAAGCAAATAAAACATACTCGTGAATAATAGAACTAGTATCGCACACTTGAAGAGCATTGCAAACTTTGTTAGGCGTCAAATCGATAACATGAATTTGAAAACAACTCTCTTACATAATATGTAGCTGTAAATAATATTGATTTAATCGCCAATATAATGAAAAAATAAATTTTATATGATAAGAGTTCGATATAAATTACAAAAATAATGGAAAAATTTCTATTGATAAGAAGACTACAATTATTATATAAGAAAAACAAATACACATGTATGTATAATAAAATCCAAACCACTATCGAGTAATGTAGGAAAATGTATAATATACGTGTAATGATATTTATAATTGTTTACTGTAATTAAACTATATATTAAATTTAAAATGGATAATCATTTGCTTTTCAAATAAGCATACCTATTTACTCTAAATTATTTGTTTAATGTAAACAAGAAAGTAGATTCAATTAAATTATTTCATTTATTTATTTAAAAATGTTAATGATTATAGTGAATCTACAGGTGATATAACAATTTTTAACTACTTGTTACTATTTTCGAATGAAATTTCAAAAAAAAATATGTGCTCATCAATTTTATATTGTCTTCCTATATCTGTAAAGTTCAAAAGGAGAAATGTTAAAATCTTAAAATATAGGTGCTAAAATTTTTCTATACGTCTCGATGTTGCGCTCTTCTAATTATATACATATCTCAAACCAGTTTTTCTATCATTTTTGAAAACTTTTCTCTCTTACACGTGGCAGCTTGAAGGAGTCTCATTTTTCAATTATCTACAAATATTTTATTCCTGAGAAGGTGATAGCAATAAATTCAAATTTTGTAAAATGTCAGACTTCTATTCTGTTATAACTTACCGAAGTTTTCTTTAATATTTAATTAAATAAATTAGAGTAATGTAGTTCAATCTTTATTCTGGAAGAACTTTTTTTTTAAATATGCTACAGGCAAATTCTGTATTTAATATTTTAGTCTAAACAAATCATAACATTGAAAAGGAAAACTATTTTTAAATTTTCATACTTTCAAAAAAATTAGATTTTAAAATTTTAATTTAATATAATGAAAACAACAACAACAAAAAGAGTCAAACATACATTAGGAAGAAATGTTTTTCAAATACAAAAGATTTTTGATAACTCTTTAACTATATCTGTATGTACGTATATGTGCTTTGAATTAAGGAATTTAGAAAGCTCTCATAGAACAAATTCATATAGCCAACCCACATAATTCATTAAGACATTTGAATTTTTTCCTTTTTTTTTTATTTAAGCAATAAAAGGTAAAATCTGTTTAAAAAATAATTTTAATTAAATTGTTAACTCGCGTATGTTTTTAAATGAAAATGTAAAATTAATCCTTTGATTTCAAAATATACGCAAATTGGATTTTTATCTTTCTTAATTTGCGTTCTGTTTAATGAAATAAATGTATAGCACCAGTAGAACCATATTCATTGTGGCTGATTCTATATAATATGGAACAATGAAATTTTAATACGAAATTTAATACCTTGAAAAATGAAATTTATTATAAATGAATATGAGAGTAATTTTTCTACCTATGTTATGTATATTCATTTGAAAATTGATGTTAATTACAATTGTTTCCATTATAATCAAAAATTTTCTAATTTCTGACATCTGAAATATTATTGTCAAATTAAAAATTTTATAAAATCAAAAGAATAATTTTTAATCAGTATTGATGGAACAAGTTTCATTATTAAAAATATGACTGACAATCATTCATAGTAGCTTCTCTTTAGCTAATGTATTCAATTCACATTGAATTAAATTCCTGTAATATAGAAGGGATATAATAAAGTAATAAGAAAAGGCATAATTAACTTATATAATATTTGAATATGAAATTTCCCAATCAGGTTCATTTATCGGGTTAACAAAATTTCGGAATTTCCGTTGTAATAAATTACCCGCACGAGAAATTATACCCACGGATACTAGCATACGAATGAAAATATAAGTATTCTCAAAAATGTTAATTAATTATCATCCTCCCCCGCCTCTCTTTTTACAACAAATTAATTTTATATAATGAATTCGCATAAATTTTTGTTAATTTACACAAAATTTTAATTAATTATGATAATTAATTGAAAGTTTATATAGTTTAATAATTTTGTTATAAAATATTTTTATTTTTACCATTCTCAACAATAAAATATTTATTGTTTTTTTTTATACTTTTTAAAATTTTTCATTAATTTAATTAAAAGGTTTTAAATACAAAAATTATACGAGAAATATTTCTCTTGTAAATTAGAACAGCAATAGACTGACAAAGTTTTGTTTTTTTTGGGGAAAAAAGATTTCTAAAGTCTATAATTAACATTCTTGGTAAATATAAATTGCAATTTTCACTAATTATCGACAAAAAACAAAAATAAGAAAAATAAATAGAAAACTTATTGTTTTTACATTGTTTACTTATGTATTTATAAACTCTGTTCTAAGTTTTTTACACACACATGCGACAATATACAAAATTTATACAAAATTAAATTTTTAAAAAGAAAATTTTAAAAGTTGAACTTTTTTTTTGTTTTAATTAAAAATTTTGTAAAGAATGGAAAATATGTTACAAATTAATTATAAAAGAAATTTTTTTTTTGTTGTTATACCCATTTAAAATTTCCATTTTCTCTTAAAATTTCCCAACCTATACTCTTAATTTCTATGAACATTTTATAATAGTAAAAGTATATCCAAAAATATATTTGAATATGATTAATAAACACAAATCCAGAATAAAAAACTTTAGAAATGTTGCTATTATTGTTTATTCGAGTTGGAATTTAGAAGTTTTTACATCTCTTACTAAACTTAATATAAAACTAAATATATATACGTGTTTATCGACTTTACGCTTGGCTACATTATACATTTGATAGTACTAAAATTACGAATATATTACGTTTATACTAGGTTTATAAAAAAGAAATATTAGGTCGAATTAGCTCGAAGTAGCACCAGGAAATTAAATACATTAGGCAATTAAACTAAATTGAGAATGTACACTTATTATTCAATTATACTTTTAAACCAAGCAGGGGTTTACAAAAAAAAAGAGAACGAAAAACGTGTTAGTATAGAAACTAATCCGAATTAGGCCAAAATTATTCAATAGCATTTTTTTATTGAAAATTTAAAAAACATTTCCATGAGACTCTGAAAAATTTTCTTTGAATTTTTGCAATGTTGCCTCAAATAATCGTTTGACAATTCGACTTTAAAGTTTCCAAGAAGGGGAACACATACATATTAACTAAAATAATATTCAAATGAGTATCATTTGTAATATCATAAGAAAATTCTTGGAAAATTCATAAATTAAACTTTAGGAAAAGAAATAGTACGTAATTTATAATGTATAAATTACATAAGCCCATACACAAAATAATCATACATAGTTCACATATATAAGTCACATATGTATGATGACCATAACTTTACATAAATTTACTAGAA